TGGCACCGACAATGTGGTGGGTATTAATTGCTGCATACGTTGCAATGAATCGGTGGCTTTTATTATGCCCTATTTGCCACACGATCGTTTTCATGATTTTTACAATAAAATGGATGTGGCCGAAGTACAATTCTATATGAAAAATCTCTTAATAGCTTTGCGTCATGTTCATCGTTTCAATGTTATACATCGTGATGTTAAACCCAGTAATTTTTTATATAATAGACGTAAAAGACAATTTCTATTGGTGGATTTTGGTTTGGCCCAACAGGTGACCGTGTCGAATAATAATAATTTGACGGGAAAATTAGAAAGTCTTGCTTTGCCTGCACCAAACACTAATGCTACGCCTGCATTAGGTGTTGGTGAGGGTAAACGTATACGTGAACATGATGATATAAACCTCAAAAAATCTCAGGAAGTAGCCGTGGCTGTTACAGGTGCTGGCGAAGTGGTTAGTGGTACAGCGAAACGTTTACGCTGTACTCTAACGCCACAAGAACAACAAACACCAGCGGCCGTGTCAATGGGTCCAACAACACGTGCCGCAAATGCCGCCTTTAATACTGGTACATTATCACATACACCTTTTAAAATGCCTTTTAAAACAAATTAATGAGATTCCTAACACTCCCCCCATAGGATCGAAAGGAGTAGCTGGTAGTAATGCAAGTCTACATGAACGTAAATCTGCCGGCGGAGCTGCTGCGGTACACACCCTGAGTGGGCGTTTACAACAGAAATTAAGAGCTCAAGGTGGTGCTGAAGCAGTACAAAACAGCAGTACACGTACTTCTTCGGCAGGCGGTAAAAATACCCCGCCCATAACTCAAGCAGCTCATAACAATAATACTGCAGATGCTAAATACAATACCAATCGCAACTTATCATCCTCAAATAGTCCCAAATGTTATTGTTATGGCAACCCCCAAGTTTGTAATATTTGTCTGGTAAAGAAAGAGATACATGCCTCGCGTGCTGGCACGCCCGGCTATAGACCTCCCGAAGTATTACTCAAATATCCCGATCAAACAACAGCCGTTGATGTTTGGGCGGCTGGCGTAATATTCCTCTCCATACTGTCCTCTGTGTATCCCTTCTTTAAGGCTCCCAATGATTATGTCGCCTTGGCTGAAATGATAACAATATTTGGTGATAAATCTATACGCAAAACCGCCCATATATTAGATCGTTTGGTTACATTATCACAAAAAACTAAACCTTTGGATTTACGTAAATTGTGTGTGCGTTTTCGCAACCGCGTCAAATTCAGTTCACCTAGTCTTTTAAAGAAATATCAACGTCCCGATGGTACCTGTGAGGTTTGCAAAAATTGTGATCAGTTTTTCTTTAATTGTCTATGCATGGAGTCGTCCTTTGTAACCGAATCTCAAGATGAAGATGATAACTTTCCTGCCAGTGCCTATGATTTACTCTATCGTTTGATGGAAGTTAATCCACATAAACGCATAACGGCCGATGAAGCCTTAAGGCATCCTTTTTTTCTGGAATGTCATAACAACGACAATAATATAACTACCTCAACTACAAACTCCAGCCCAGTGACATCATCAGCTCTATGTGCTAATGCTGTGCCGCTAAATACAGCAGCAGCCGGTGATTCGCTTAAGAAAGCACGCAATTAACCTTTAACATCTTTAAGTCGTAATTTATGGAAATTTGTTTTTGTATATTTAAAAAAATGGTATTTTTTATAATTTTTTTTTTTCCTTTTGCCAAAGCCTAAGTTTAATTTATTTTAATTTTCTATTGAGATTTTGTTATTAGTTTTTTAATTTTGCCTCGTTTATAGTGTAAAAAATCAACCTGCTTATATTTATTATTATTATTTTGTAAATCCTTAAATAATGTCAACAAATTTTCCTTTGTAATCATTAATAAATTATATATAAATTTAATTAATTAATTTTGTATGTTAAACACAAAATTGTAATTGTTGTTAAATATATGCTAAAGAAAATTTTTTGTAAATATATTTTTAGATATTTTATATATACACACAGTAAAATAAAAACAAAATATAGTGTTTATATTAAAAAAAAAAACAGTTTTATTTGTGTTAATAACTGAGGAATTTAAATCTCCATTCTGGTAAGTTCACCAAAAAGTTAAGTTTTTAGTAATTTTTAAAGCGGCTTAATTCCGAAAGAGCAATGTCCTACTAAAACTTTTGCCAGAACTCTTAGGTTATATCTATACAGCCCAATAAGTAACTTAGTTGCGTTTGCATTAAGTCTTGTTATTTTACAATTAATTTGTTGGATTCCAACCTTGTCCTGCAAGTTCGTCAAAGGTTTAAATTCTGAATCGACACCGAAAATATTTCAAAATTTATGAATATTTTATGTTCGAAGTTAGAAATTGTAGGTCTAATAATGCTAATTTTATATTTGTATGCTTCAGGAGTTGGGTTCTGTTACGAAGATGATAATAAACAAAAAGATCAACTCTTCCTTTATCATTTATGTCCGAATGCAACCAGGAACTAACAAAAAAAATCTTATCATTTTACGTTAAAAATATTCATTTTAATTTGCAACTAAATTAAAAAAAAAACAAATATTACAGCTTACAACTAAATTCAATTTCATTCAAATGGTAGGTCGTTCCACCCTTACTACGTTTCCATTTTTTGCATTTTTTGTTTCTTAGCTGGCGTACCTTCTGCAACGACCTCAACCTTAATACGTTTACCGGCCTTAACTTCCTCCTTAGAGGGTTGTGTTTCCATAGTACGTTTCTTAGGTTTCTCATAGTTGCCACGACCGGCAGCACGTTCGGACTCTTCAATGGTATAGGGTTCGGTTTCCAAAGCCTTTAGACGACGTTTATGAACTTTGGTGCGGAAATGTGCCTGCATGGCGGTATCATCTATAAAGTACTTAGCACAGTGTACACAATAGAATTGGGCAAAACCTGGTTTTTCCAAATCAACCGCTTGATTGATTAACTGGGCCGATTGTGTGCGTATGTCTTCATCGATGAGATCAAGATCACGAGTACGATTGCGTACACGCCAACGTCTCTGAAGATGTGTATCACCGGAGTGCATCTTCTTGCGTTTCTGTACCATACCCATGTTGGAGCTGTTGTGGTTGTTATATGCCTTGGAAAAAAATTTGGAAAATATACACAACACGTGTTTTGTTGTTGATAGCGAATTTGGAAGTGCGTAGTTCTAGTAAAAGTATTTCTTATAACAAAACACGAAGCCGTCTATTGTCGTAAACACCTGTAATAATTTAAATAAATAAATTATTTTATAATAATCAAGAAATAACCAATTTTAACTTACTTTTATATAAAATTATCAATATTTTTCTTCTACGTTGCGTTTATTTACAAAATTTTAAAATAATGATGGCTGAAGAGAACAAAATGTCAAAATAAAAGAGAACACATTACTACGTTTCTTTGCAACCTTGTTGTGTATAAACAAATGTTGCTAACTGTAAACTAAGTAAAAAACGCTGATTTACATATTATGATTAGGTGTTCTTTTTTTAATATTAATGCTTTTAAAATTTAATTTTTCAAAATGGGAATTCTATTATTTACTATAATAAAGCAATTAACATTATTTTGAAAACAATTATTTTTTGAAAAAATTATTTGGTAGATCCATAAACATATTGTTATTCGATTACACAGGGCCAACAAAATTTAAAAAAATCAAAGTCCAAAGTTCAAGATATACCTGGTTTTCGAGATATCATATTCTAAATTTTGAAAAAACCTGTTTTTCGCCATATTTCAGACGTTAGGACTCCTTTATTTATGATTTTTGTTATGTCATCTAAAAGTCCAATCTGCCGAATTTCATATCATTACCTTTCTTCGAGATATCTTAAGCTGAACTTAACATAAATATAACACCATCTGGAAGAACAGAAGTCTTTCCAACAACTGTTTTTAGGCTGAAATATTTCGGTTGTGTTAGCCTGAAGGGTACTATATGTCTGAATATTCCTTTCTTCCAGATATCTTAAGCTGAAATTAATATAAATATAATAGCATCTGGAAGTCTTTCCAACAACTATTTTTTAGGCTGAAATATTTCGGTTGTGTCAGCGTGTAGAACGGTATCTGCTCTGGAAGTCTCTCCGAGTAGAAACTCCGTTAGGTTTCATTAGAAGCAGTTCTTTCTTTAATACTACGTTCAGACCTTCGTGATTTTTGAAACACATTTCATTCATTTTGTTGTTGAAAAGATTTTAAACTTATTTTAAATTATTTAATAATTGTGTGTAAATATTAAATTTACTGCAATTTAAGTGAAAATCTTCACTTTTAAAACTGAATTTTTAAGTCGGAAAACATTTGAAAGCAAAAAACACGATAGTTTAATATGTGAACGGTTTGTGTTTTTCCAAAAACACGTTAAAAACATGTAACATAGTATAATATCCGATTTTGTTAACAAATATATAAAATAAAATTATTAAAATGTTTGTTGGGTTTTTGTATTATAAACGTATTTTTTTTATTCACAATTTATGTAAATAACTGTAGACAACACTGTTTTTTTAAGAGTATTTTCCATAATACTACTTTTAAGAGAGTATTTATTTCTACTACCTTTTATTTACAACTTCCCATCTCTGTGCCTGTGTTTGAAACACTATTGTGAATTCTCCATATTCATACTAGATGATGACAAAAAACATATGATTGTCAAAATTTTCACCATATGTCATTCTGAAACAAAATCTGCGCGTAAGAAGTCGTGTTTACGGAAAATATTCGTTGATTCGGTGTAAGAACGCCCGACGCGCAACTTGTGTTTTTTTTATACCGTGTGAAATTCGATTTTTTTGATTATTATTTTTGACTGTATTTTTCATCCCATTAACGGACGATTTCATTATAGTCATCTTTTCTACTACTCCATCTGTGGGTATTACCTGTTTGCTCTTCTGACGGTGCCTTTTTAGTGGACATTATGGAGGACGACCCGGACGGGGTTACACCTCGTCTGGAACCAGGGGGGGCAGGACCCCCTCAGAAAATGTTGATAATTGGAAGCACAACTGCGAATGGGGAATCGAACATATCATTTCATGCTAGGAACAATGATTTTGAAAAATTTGCTGAAAACCACATGCCTAATAGAAGCGAAAACAAAGTGACAGTACAATTCCAGATGAAGAGGAAGACGAAACTGAGGACCCGCTGGTCTTCGTCTCGCAGAACATGCCAACAGTATATGAGGATGATCATAGAGGCCCCTTCACTGTATACGTGGACACAGCGAAAGCGGAACCAAGAACACCAATTAATCAGTATAGACTTGCGAAGAAACTACTTGATCTCAAGGTAGGAGATATAGACAACATTATTAAAATAGGTTATAGTAGATGTAAGGTGACGTTCAGATCGAGATCGGCAGCAAATAATTTTGTGAATAGTAAACAATTGGAGAGTGCAGGTTACACCCCAAGAATCTTTGCCCACCTTTTGACGAAAACGGGAATAGTCTTTAATATACCGGAAGAGATCTCAATGAAGGAATTATCAGCCATGCTAACATCACCAGTGCCTATAGTCAAATTGATAAGAATGACGAGAAAGAATGGAAACGAAAGATGTGCCACTATGAAGGTAAAGGTTGTATTTAGAGGACTGAACATACGAAGGAGATGGACTTTGCTTTTACGAAATTGATAACCAAACCTTTTATTCCTTTCGGACAGTGTTACAACTGTTTTAAATTTAACCATATGGCGGACAACTGTAAGCAGAAGGAGAAGACATGTGGCAAATGCTTTACTAAACACACTTTGAATTCTGATTGTGATACGGAATGATAACTTGTACAAATTGTAAGAACTTGCACCCACCCACCGACCGCAATTGTCCGGCTCGGGAGAAGCGTTGAATCTGAAGAGAATTATGATTCTGGAGAACTTGAGCATCAGAGAGGCTAGAACTAAATATGCTGGTATCATAGGTGGAAACAGATTTGAAATATTAGGTGATGACGGTGTTGAGGTGAATTTCCCTCAATTACGCACCAGACCGGATAAGATCATTGATAACTCTATTGAAGCAGCGAGACACGTACATAGAAACCAATCATTTGCGAAAGTTACCAAATCAAACCCCAACAGGATTAGAGAGGAAGAGAGAGCAAGAAAAGATATGGATCAATGGAGACAACTTAACAGAGAGAACCAAATAGTATTACAGGAGAAGAGAGATATTGAAAACCCCCACTCGGTTACAGAGGTGGAAAGACTAGCTACCCAATTAAAAACCTTGGCGAACTCATTCTTCAGTAAATGGGGAGATGACTCGCTTCAAGCAATGACAGAAGATTCGTAGGTGAAATTGCAAGAGCTTTAGACAGAGCGCTAATAACTAAGGACAGAGATGAAATAATCGCATCCACAAGTGGTGCGATTGCAAAGAATACTAGTAACATTATGAAATTTTTACAGTATAATATACAGAGTTTGGGGAAGAAAGGTACCAAGGAACTGATTGAATTATATATGGAGAAGAATAACATTGAATGTGCAGTATTATATGAGATCTGGTTGAAGGATAATAGAAGTACCAATTTACTGAACTACAACTTTATTGGTAATTTTCGGAATGATGGATATGGAGGCGTGGCATTTACCTGAGGAAGAATATAAGATTCATGATTAATAGAATTGACACGGATGGTGAGGTAATATCAATATCGACTTTGAATCTTCCATTTAATTTTAATATTACTGGTATTTACTGCCCACGGATGTGAATGTGAAACATTTCGGGGACATTGTGGAGAGGAGCATGGGCCTTTTTTGAAGATTCGCGCTTGACTACATTTGTATGTGGCGACTTCAAACGCCAAGTCAACCTCTTGGGGAATATGAATACCGACAGAAGGGGAGCCTCTCTTGACAATTTAGTACGAAATTATGGTTACAACAGTTCTGAATGACGGCTCCAAGACTTTTGTAGGACCATCGGGAATCTGCAATTGATTTAACACTGGTCAGGAGTAACAATAGATTAATACAATGGAGAACTTTGGATTCTAAGGATTACGGGAAGCAATCACAAACCTATAAACTTTGAATGGAAGCCTGACAACCAGACCCAGTTGCAGTAGGCGTAAACTAATTCGGAACAAACTTATGATACTCTAGGGAAAATGGAGATTGAAGATGATATTGTGAGCAAAACTGTAAGTTCAGGGAGGCTATCCAATCATGCACTGTGACGCTTAATGGGGAAAACCATTATAAGGCAAGGCTGGTGGGCTAAAGAATCTGAGAAGCTCTTCAGAATCAGAATGCGGCCAGGCTGAAAAATGACAGATACAAATCATGGCAGAATAATATAATAGCTGTTGAGGCGGATGAGAACTTCCAAAACATATTAGGAAGAGGGAAACACGAGCATTTTAGGGAAACCTGCAGGAAGAATGTCTAATCCGAAACTCAGGAGAAGATGTGGAGACAGATGAACAACCTGAAGAAATATGACCGAGTAAAAAAGGTGAATAACAGCTGGAGCTCTCAGCAAAATACTCAATTTTTGAATAACATGACCTCCTGCACGGACTCGAGTAACTTTGTGCCATCAGATTACCCACTAGTGCAAATGGAGGATATCAATTTGAATCTGAGTGATTTCGAAGATTTTTTAAGTTCTCGTAAGCCTGACTCTGCAGGCGGAGCTGATGGAATAACTTACAGAATGCTTTTAAATCTTTCGGATAGCGGCAGGAAGAAATTGTTTGCAGTGCTCAACAGAATATGGATCTCTGGTAACATTCCTGATATCTGGAGACATATAAAAGTTCACCCCATCCCTAAACGTGAAGATTCGGTGGATATTACTGATTATAGACCGATATGTCTTCTGCCAGTACTTCTCAAGTGCATAGAGGGTATGTTGAAACCACATATGGAGCAATTCGCAAATTCCAGGAAGATCATACCCGAAAGGTCTTTTGCTTTCCGCAAGAATATGAGCACGACGCAATGCATTAACGATTTGATAAATACAGTTCAATACCTCAGAACTGAAAAACGGAAAGTAGTGGCGATTTGTATTGATATAGAAAAAGCGTATGACCATGTGAACGTGAACACCTTAGGAGCCAAATTGATGGAGATGGGTTTTAATCGTAAATTGGTACTGTGGCTAACATCATATCTCCAAGACCGTACACTTCATCTTCACGATGCGAAAACTAAGACTAATCGTGGACTGGCTCAGGGCAGCGGCTTGAGCCCAATACTGTTCAATTTGTACACGGCATCACTTCACAACATAGAGGATGAAAACACGTATATTTTTCAGTTTGCGGACGATTTTTTCATTCTTGCATTTGATGAAACTTGGGATGAGGCGTTGGACATCCTGGAACGCAAATTTGGTGAATTCATTTACGATTGTGAACAATTGGACCTTAATATAAACTACGACAAGACCACGGTGACATCATTTGGTAGAAGGAGTTCTCAAATTAATCTCAATTTCAATGGTAGAATGTTAACGGAAGTAAAGGAGATCAAATATCTTGGCAGGATAGTCTCGGCGAATAATTCTTCACTATCTCATGTGACGCAGGCAATATCGAAAATAAACCGGACTTGCAGGTTTTTGAATACGACAAGTGGTTGCCTTTATGGAATACATCCGGCAAGGGCCATCCAGTTTTATAGAGTTTATGCCCGATCACAATTGGAATATGCTGCGTCATCTTTTGCGAACCTTTCCGGAAGAGCCCTGGCTAAATTTCAGACTCAATCGAATTTCCACGTTAGAAGGGCCCTGGGTCTTATGAAATCCACCCCGGTACATGTCTTATATCATCTAGCGGCCGAATTGCCCCCTAAATATAGAATTCAACTGGCAGCAGGGAAAGATCTGGTGAAACTATTCCATTTGGAAATGCCTTTGGCAAAATTGCTCCCAACCTTGGAGAAACCTTTGGACACGAGTTATTACAAGATGTTTGATAAATTCAAGAATGTACTCTTGGACGTGGAACAAATACGTACTTCTACAGTGGAATCCCGAAAAGTGCGAACATATGAAAACTTCTATCATAGCAACAAGGCGAACCTGAATCCTCAGGAGGTGAATCAAATATTTCTCAGTAAAAAAAACGACATCATGAGCAGGAATTTGGAGCTGGTATATACTGATGGTTCCATAATGGAGAACCAAGCTGGTGGAGCCTTCTTTCATCCAAGGTCTAACACTGTAAGGAGATTTAAATTGTCGAAAACAGTGTCATCCATGTCGGTGGAATTGCACATAATGGAAAAGGCGGTAGAATTTGCAAAGGAGATGAACTTTCTGAAATTGGCGATACTTACTGACAGCAAAAGTGGTGTTCTGGCCTTGAAAAACGGTGTTTCAAATGCGGCATGTTCCAGAATTCATGATTTGATAGATTCCAGCCCTACACTTTCCACTGTTGAGTTTCATTATATCCCTTCGCATAGGGGAATATTCGAGAACGAACGTGTTGATGAAGAAGCTAAAAAGGCCACTCAAGATGGCCTGACATTGCAAATAAAATGGTCTAAAGACGAAGCTATAAGGGAGATCGAAAGGAGACTACATGATGAGTGGGAGAGAGAATATGTTGATCTAAGTCGTACGAAAGGTCGGGAATTCGGAAAAATATTCCCAAGTCTCCTTAGGAAACCTTGGTTCAACCATAACTCCTTGGGGATGAATGCTATTCAGATAAGACAGTTGAACAGAATACTCTCAGGCCATTCCTTCAGTCCACATACTTTGGCTAGATTACATGTTTTGGGATGATGACACTTGCCTTCTGTGCAATGAAGTTGACGGACCGACTCACATATCATATTCGAATGTACCAAATACAACCACATCCGCTTGAGGTATCCGGTATTAGAGCAGTATGATAATACCACGTCATTTTTCAGGAAGGAACCTATTGAGAATTATCATTTCATTACGGACTTTATTAAGGAGGCTAATATTAAACTTTAGAGAACTTTAGATTTAAATTGTTGTGGCGTTTTATCCCTTTGGACCAGCCAAGTAAATCTCCATCCCTTGTTTTTTTTTAAGGGGGCACGGAGTAATCCCAAAATCGACAAAAAAAAAAAAAAAAAAAAAAAA